GCACCCCTCCCCGCGCTTCTTTAATTTTTCTTCTATTTAAACATGCAGCTCTGACCGGCTCTAGGATAAACTCGGAGCGAGCTCCGTTATTGGCTTTGAGTCAGAAGTGTCTGGAAGCCTTAATGAAAACCAAGTGTAAGGCAAGTCTCAGCCACCTGTCCCCGGCATCCCCAGCCAAGCGCTCTGGGCTTCCATTAATCAAGGGATCTGCCTCTTGGAAAGCGTCTTTTGCACGCTGGACCTCTACCCTGGGGCGATTGCAAAGCGGAGTTGGGGACCTGGAAGCCCTCTGGTAATTTCTCTAAGCCAGAAACCAAAGCCGTGCTGGCATTGCCGGCAATTCTGCATTTCCAAAACCGCTACAAAAGCCCTTGCGAGAAGAAAAAGGGGTAGGAAAGAAGCTTTTTGTGTCGCAGGTCTGCGGTCCTGCCCCCTCTCCCCAGGAGCAGCACCTCTCCCACCTCCCTACTTCCCAAAGATACTGTCTAGTTACTTTTCAAGGGAAATTAGCTTAGGGGAGAATATTTTTTTTTTTTCTCTTTCTTACAGACATGAGCTGCTTTGATTGCCTGGAAGCATGATTTCCTGAAACCTGCTCCTTTCTGGCTCTTGCAGTGAGGTTCACAATAAAACGTATTGTGGTTTTGAGCTGGGTTTTATTTAAGAAAATGGCATTCTGGGTTACTCTCTTTCATGAGGCAGACGGAGAAAGATGAAAGGCTGACACTTGGGATACTTCATTTCTGCTCTTTAATTGTGGGTGGTTTCTTTTCTATAAGAACAGGCTCTTCCCTGGGAATCGGTGGGAATTGGAGTGGAATGAAAGAAAAAATAAAAAGGAAAAATAATGGCTGTTAATTGCATTTTTGTGTTTATGAAGCTTTTAATCTCATTCTTCTAGTAGCGATTCTGTAAATGGGGATATTTAAATGCACAGCTTTTATAGATCCAGGGACACTTCTTGTTACTTGCTGCCTCTTGTGCAACGCTTGCTTTGGTGTAAACCACGCTTTCTTCCAAGACAGGCTTGGAGCCTCAGCTAGCACTGGTGGTATCAGGTGCAGCCACTGGGAACCAGTGCAAAGTTGTGGTTTGGAAGATAGCAGCCAAGACGGGATGTGAACCTGTACCGTGTTAATGCTTCCACTAATTAAATATAGCTTCAGGATCAAGCCCTTGCAGTCACTGGTGGTTGGTGTCACTTAGCTGACCGGGAATGCTGAAGAAGATGCGTGCTGTGTAACCCAGGCTGCAAAGCAGCCCCTGCTCTCAAAGGGCGGTGGGGCTGGATGGGAATTTTGCTTAGTGTGGTGTTTGGTTGCTTTCCAGGATGAAGATATCTAAGTGGAGGTGGAGCAGCATCTCCATCAGTGCGCGATCCCAGCTGAAAGGCACCCTGGCCCTTCTTCTTGTGGGCAACGTTGCCTTTGTGATAGCTCAGGTGAGTGTGTTGCCTTGCTGGGGGATCTCTGGGCTTTCAAATGGTGTGGGGTGCGGGATGGGTCACCCCTGGGACTTGCAGGACTGGTCTGTGCACGCATCAGGTCTCCAGCAAGTGTGAGGACATACGACTTGGCTTAGCTCTTTAATCTGGGCTTCGCCTAAGCTGTACCTTCCATGGCTAAGAGCGTGCACAGATCATTTCCAGGGCTCTGAAAGGCCATGTCCTGCTCTTGGGTGAGCATCACTTCCTCCGTCCCTGCAGTGGTTGGGGCTTTCGTTCACTTTGCATGGAATATTATCCCTTTCTCAGAAAAACACAGAATTAATAGAACTCCCCTAAGCAGCATGTGATTCTGGAAGGAAAAATACATCCCCCCAGCAATGAGCAATAGCTGGGACCCCCCAGGAGAATCTGTGCCCCTTGTGAAGGGCTGTGGATGCCTTACTGAACACAGGCATGTGGTGGTGAGGCTGCTGGCGGAGCAGCTCCTTTGCCCTCTGATGCGTGGTCACACTGCTGCCTGCAGTGGCTGAGGGGTGGGAGTGAGGGCTGTCGGGGACCCACCTGACGTGACAAACCTGTACTTGCAAAGACAACATATGGGCTCCTCCAGCCTACTAGCATCCACTGGCATGCTTTCATGGTTCTGCAAGGGTTTGGTTAAGCTTTCAGTGAAGTTTTCGGCTACAACTGGCGCTTCAGCTCCCTGAATTCACTGTGGAGCAAGAGTCAAAGAGCACCAAAGGACTTGGAGGGTTTAGGATTGTTTGGGAGCTCTATTTTGCCAACTGAGTGAAACAATGAACATTTCCTTTCCTGAGGAATCCCAAATATTGCCATTTCATTCCAAATTGTAATGAAAACACAATTGGAAAAATGTAGGGTTTCTTGCAAGATGGAAATCTCAGACTTGACCTCAAGATGGGGAAGGAGATGCCCTGTTGGCTGAGGGCAGGCTGGGCAGGGGATGCCCTCAATTCCCCCCGCCAAAGCTCTGCAGTGCAAATGCTGACTGCTGCATCTCTTCCCCCACCTGCCTGATGCTCCGAGCAGGACCTGACGCAGACCTCCAACAGCCTGGAGGAAGGGGCAGACGTCACCGCGTACTGGTGGGGCGAGTGGACCAAGTGGACGGCGTGCACCAGGACCTGCGGGGGAGGCGTCAAGTCCCAGGAGAGGCACTGCCTGCGGCAGAGGTACGGCACCCGTAGATTCCTGGAGCTAAACTTGATCCAGAAGGTCATGAAGCACTGGTGAAAAGGTGTTGTCCTGCAAACCCTGCTGGTGCAGAAGGCAAGTATGTCCCAAGCATGCTGCCGTGAGGATGCTGTGCCCTGGGCATCCCTGCCAGGAGGACCAGCCAAGCTATTCCTGTGCTAGCCCTGGTGTTTCTCCCGTGGGGATTAGTGCAGATGGGCAGCAGACCTAGTGTAAGCCTGTCCTCAAGGCTTCTGGGCACAGCAGCCGGGACACAGTGGTGCAGGGTTGGTTGAGGAACCGCAGATCCTGAGTGCTCTGTGCACGGCTTTGCCCTCTCCAGGCTGTGTGGTTGCCAGAAGGCACCTTGCAAACCTTGTCCCCAGGCCCTCGTCCCTGTGATACCTCCTAGAACGCTGTAATAAGAATAGTTGATGGTGCAGGTAACAGAGCCAGAGAGACCTTTGCTATCGACCCCAGTGAGGCTCTGCTACATGGAGACCAACCTGACAGAAGCAGGGGACAAATATGTTTAAAAAAGAGGAAAGAAGAGTTTCTGAACCCGGTCTAACCACCATTTCTTTATTCAGAAGAAAGTCAGTGAGCGGGCTGGCTAATAAAACGTGCACTGGAACATCCAAAAGATACCAGCTCTGCAAAGTACAAGTAAGGATATCCTTCTTCTCATCGGGAACACTCAGTGCAAAATGTGGAAAGCTCTGCTTGCTTTGTGCAATGGCATTTCTGAGGGACACCATTTGTCCTGTAGCTGTCACCCCGTTGCCCCTCCAAGCAACTGGAGTTCCCTTCCTCGGTGCCCATCACTGTTGTGTCGAGGCTTTGGGCCTTTTGCCTGTGCTGGGGGCCATAAAACCCAGTGGGTGGTTCTTGCACCATCTCCCAGGGAGGGTCCCCTGGCTGTCCCTGCAGTGGGAGGAGGAGGAGGAGGATGGGTCAGGCAATGGAAACGCTCCTTGCAGCCGGTTGAGATGTGCCAGAAATCTTTCCCACATTTTGTTTTCATCAGGATATTAATGTATCCCATTCTAGGAGTGCCCTGCGAACGGAAGGAGCTTTCGAGAGGAGCAGTGTTCATCATTTAACTCCCATGTGTATAACGGCAGAACGTATCAATGGAAACCTTTATATCCTGGTAACAAGACATTCTTTGTGTGTTTCATAATGCTTAGCCAAAATATTTTGATAGTTATGATGCTATAGCCTGCAGGAAGGCTCCTCCTCTGCTCTTTTAAAGTGATTTTTCAGAGACACAATCAGCTGTCTCCCAAGTTCAAAGGCGTGTTTTGCAGCTGCAGGGTAGCTTAAAAATAAAATAACAACATGAATTTATGGCTGTAGCCTGTGTTGGTCACAGCTCCCAAGGACCAAAGAGCTGAAAAGCTGGAGGAGGATGCGAGAGCGTGGGGTGATGGGCTGTGAACAAGTGTCCTTTGAGCTGGGGCCACTACTGGCTGCGTTGCATTTCGGTGACATTTGCTCACTCCCACACCCTTCGTGTGTCCTGTCAAACGTCACCAAGATGCAGTCAGTCAGTTTGGTCATCTGGGGTGAGCGACACAGAACTGCAGAAATAACCTAGGAGTCAGAAGCTGAGATTTTATTTAATTTATAGGCAACTAACTCCCATCAAAATCAAGCGTTAAACAAATCTCGGCCGATTTTTTAGAGCTGTTGGGAACCCAGGACCCTTCTGCTGAGGAGGAGGCTCCTGAGCGCTGGTTCTTCAGATTCACAGTGCCATTTGGGTGTCTAAAAATAGAGCGGGGATCTAATGCAACTGTCTTATTTTAGGGGTCCCTGTACATACCTAAGAACAATTATGCTTCACGAAATGACTCGTTGCCTCGTTTTATGTGAAACAAGCCCCTGCCTTGCCAGCCTTGTTGGCAGGGTCAGCGTGGTAGAACTTGGCCCATGGCAGACTGGTAGCTCTAGCTACTTGGCTGCTTTTGTCCCTTTCCTATGGCAAGGTGACAATTTCTTTAAACACATTTGCTCTTCGAGATGATTCACCAGCATAGTTACAGTGAATTGTTTTGTTTTTTAGCAGGCGTTCACGTGGCTCCTGGGGGATTTGCAGAATAATGTTTTGACATTGATGCTGCCTTGCTTGGGCGCGCAGGCCAGTGGGTATATGACCGCTCGCTAGTTGGCGGAGTTCAACACTTAGCATTGGGTTTCTGGTGTAAATATGAATTTGTCGGTTGCTTCCTGTGGATATTTGTATAATGTGGGACTACGGCGCCAGTGGATGCAGCCAGCCAGTTGCCTGCAGAAAGCAAAGGGCAAATTAAGTCCAGCTTGGGTGAACTTTTATGGAAAAGTTCTTATGTTTGAAGCTGCTATGGTTTTGGATATAGTCCTACTCGTATGGGTATTTATAACAGTATATCTATGTTAAATGAACTCATGTATTAAATGTTGATATGTGAACATGCATATGTGGGTTTTTTTTGGTAATGTGTGCATGTATCACTGCTGCAAGTCCTTGCACAGAGCAGTGGCTGTTCCTGCATCAATGCATCCCCTGGGCTGCTGCTGGTGATACTGCTGGCATCCCTAGGTGCACCTCTCCCCGGCAGCGGAGAGGACTGCCTGGCTGTGCAAAGGTTTGCAGCAGTGGGCTGGTGCTCTGTCAGAAGCGCGATCTCCTGTCCAGCCTGAAACGCAAGAGATGGGAGCTTCTGAACTGCTGGCTGCTGTGCAACTGTGCTGGTGCTGCTGTTGTTTAGCTTGGCAGAGATTCGTTGACATTGGTAGGATGAAAGTTATTGTGTTTCTGCTGTTTTGAATGTGTCTTTATATCCTTTCCCCTTAGATGACTATGTTCACATTTCTAGCAAGCCCTGTGACCTCCATTGCACCACTGTGGATGGTCAGAGACAGTTAATGGTTCAGGCTCGGGATGGAACATCCTGCAAATACACTGATTTCCGAGGGGTTTGCGTGTCTGGAAAATGTGAGGTTGTTAAACATTATAGCAAAAATATTGTTAGTAGCATTCAGAAAATTAAAAATTGCGACACTTGCCTGACCCTCAATACTCTATTTGTGCATTTCTTAGCCCATTGGATGCGATGGCATTCTCTTTTCCACCCACACCTTGGATAAATGTGGAGTTTGCCAAGGAGATGGAAGCAGCTGCACTCACGTAACCGGCAGTTACCGGAAAGGAAATTCTCATCTTGGTAAGGCTTTTTTTGGGGACCTTTTGCTTTATTTGTACCAGAGGGCTATTTTCTAAATGTACTTTTTTTTTTTGGTAAATTGCTTTCAGCTCTTACCAACTGTCCTGCTTCAGTTTTCCCCGTGTGGTCTATGTGTGTTAATGCCACTTGTAAATTTGGGCAGGGAAAACTTTCTTTAAAGAAAACCAGTAACTTCGCATGGCCTTTGTCAGAAGCCTGAGGTCTCTGATGCTGAATGGTGCAGAAGGGTTATGCAAGAGGCTGGCGTCTGTTCTAGCCTTCCTTCTCATGACCCAATAAGACTAGAAATAAAAGATTTGCAATAACAGGAAGGGAAGCTATTTTGCAAGACCAGGATTTCCAAAATTAGTGTGATGTAAAGCAGCAGAACCTACTTGTCCTAAATATAGCAATCTAACTCGGGAATAATGATTAATGTTCTCTGAGGGTCAGTTTAAGACAGAGCGAGGTGCAGGAACTTTGGCGGCCTTAGGAGGACTTGTCCCACCACTTACCTGGTGCTAGGCAAGGGGGAGTTGGAACGAGTTGTAATCTCTTGCTGGCGTTTTGGGAAGATTGGCTAGCACAGCGTTCAATACTGAACGACAGGACAGCTTCTGTAGCTAACAAAGCAGTCTTCAGATATCTTTTCTTACATCAGTTTAGACAAATGTGATTTTTTTGTGTGTAAGGTTTGCATCCTTTCCCTCCCGCTTGGCAGTGTTTTTCCACCATAAACCAGGATGCATAGTTCACACATTTTTCTCTTCTAGTATTGATAAGATCCTGTTTGCAGCCTAAGAGTTATCAACATTAGGGTTTTTTTAATGTAGAACTCATTAAAAATAATTTTGGCTCGAGGCCAGTTTGCTTGATATATTGCAGTTTTGACTACCAAGAGTTTCGTTCAGATTATTTGTTACAAGGTTCCTTTCGTTAATCTGTAGTTTCCCATAGGCTATTCTCTGGTAACGCACATTCCTGCTGGAGCGAGGGATATCCAGATAGTAGAACGGAAAAAATCTGCAGATGTTTTGGGTGTGTATAACCTCTTGGTACTTCCCTAGAATGCATGCCTAGCTGATGCTTTTTCCAATCCGAAGCTGAACGTAGTTTTATTGCAGACATGAGCTAAATCCGTGGTCAATGTAAATCACAACCACGTTGTCTAAGCCAGTGCGTTTCTCTTCGGTCTGAGCACCTGGGCTGTGCACAGCAACACTTTGATGGCTTTAATGCAGAAACTCTTGGTCATTATTGCTACTTCAGTGTGGTATGACAAACACACTGGTGCTGGATCGCAGATAGCCAAGTGACTTCACCTCTCGTGTGATCCCCTCGATCTTCTCCTGCTTGGGGAATGTGCAATGGCCACATGACCACAGCACTGAGGAGATGTGACCTACGTGTCGCCTCGCTGAAGCGTTGGTGGCCCAACCATCTGTCTCTCGATGGGAATGGCAGAGCTGCTTGGGAGGAGTGTGGAAAAATCGGGACTTGCCCAAGAGAAACACATCTGCAACCATCGTGCTCTGCTGCCTCAGAGGCTCGTGGCCATGTGCAGGAAGGCTTGAATGAAAAAGGCTTGATTTAGCATGGTTCTGGGCTAGCTCTGCATGACCTGTCTTGGGCCACCGCTGGCATCAGCTCCCAAGGAGGCAACTCCTGCTGTTGGCCATCTGACAGCCTGCTTACTGTCTGCAGAGCTGTGATTATTACATGTTCGTGCTGTGCTAGTGCTAGTAGGGTGAGAGGAGCCAGGGACTAGTGTAAGCCACATACCCAGGAGCTCACAGTGTAGAGGGATGCGTGGCCTCTGAGCACGTACTTGCACGATACGTGTTGGAAATAGGTGACAAATGCATTGTAACGTAGGAGAAATACTTGTTTTATTTCTGTGACACTCTAACGATTTTATCCCCTGAATGAACAAGTGGCAACATTGCAGACCTCTGCTCTTACATGTGACGACGCTGATTTTTTCTCTCTCCTTTGAAGCCGTGGCTGATGAAGCCGGGTACTATTTCTTCAATGGGAACTACAAAGTTGACAGTCCAAAGAACTTCAACATTGCAGGCACAGTGTTCAAGTACCGCAGGCCCATGGATGTGTACGAGACCGGCATAGAGTATATTGTTGCACAAGGACCAACAAATCAAGGGTTGAATATCATGGTGAGCTTTGACTTTTCCAGTTTGCAAGGCTAGGGGTGATGGGGAAGGGAGAATCTATATTGGATCGAGGAAGAGGTGGACATGAGAGCAGAGTCCTGCCGTGGTTTCCCAGCTTTCGTGGGCAACTTGAGGAGAGGAGTGGGAGCAGTGACTGCGCCCAGTTCCTTGCGCAAACCTATTTATTTGCACCTGCACTCTTGGATGCAGACAGGGCTGTGAATAATGAATGTGGGCTTGGTAACCCCTCTTTCTGCCTGGAGACGATGCCTCTGGCACTATGGGGGGATTTCTTTTCTACTCCTTGGCATTTTCATCCAAGTTAACTAGCAGAAAAAGTAAAAATAAGAAATTGGACCAGATAGCTTAGACAAGTGCACAAAACTTAAACCCCAATCCTTTCTTGAAAGCAAACCATCTAAAACCAGGCACATGAAGAAAAATAATTTAATTTTCCTCTGGGCAGCCAGCCAGAGTCCAACTCTTGCCATCTTTCATGTAGCCCTGAGCTCTGGAAGAGGAAGGGATGGTTTCTTGGTTGCTTATAAAGCATTAGACCAGTAAGAGGTTGTAGTGCATCAGCTGTGAGTCCCCCATCCCCAGTAGGGATGTAGTAGCTGAAGAGGTGTGTGCATGCTCCTCATAAAGCCACAAAAAATGGGTTTGCGAGTGATGGTCAGGAACTTCTGAAGTGATTCTCCCAAGTCTTTGGCCCTCAGCGGCAGAGGTGGAAGCATGACCTGTGGCTCCCAGTCCCTGAGCTGGGGCAAATCCCCAGGGCAGTGCTGCCAAATAACCCTTTTAAAATTGTGCTGGGCTCCAGTTGTAAGAAGTTGGCAATATGATGGAAAGCAGAGTGGAAATAGCAAACTAGATGCTCGCCGACTGTTAAGTCCAAGATGAATCACAAGCTTTGTGTGCCATATATTCTCTGCATCCGACAATAAATTAACTTGTTTGCTAGGTCTGGAATCAAAACGGCAAGAATCCATCCATCACGTTTGAATACACCCTCTTGAGGAAGCCACACTCAAAAAATCTGCAGCCCATCTACTACACCTTCTCTGAGTCAGATAGCGAAGAGAGCAGAGAGTTTGATGGAGACGTGCCATTGGGTTTTATCCAGCACAATGCAACCTATTTTGGGAAAATCTCCAGGGAAAGGATAGACTTGGAGAACCAGGTGTTTGGAAGGCAGGACACGGAGGAAGATTTAAACTTGAGCAAAGGTCAGGAAACCAATGAGGTCTATGAAAGAGCAGAAACAATTGACTGTGAGCCAAAACTGAAGGGCAAACAACCCCAAGGTAAGGAGGAGACTTGGGCCTCACTGTTCTGCTTCTCAGAGCTCTTGTTGAGAAATGCTCTGTTTCTACCTCTGGTGATTCTGCTGGTTTGTTTTTTGGAAACCTTGGAAAGTTCTTTAAAACATCTCTGCTCATAAATCCTCTTTGCCCTTCAGGTTCTGGTTTCTGGCGGGTGGGGGGTGGCCATGGGTAAGGTCTCACTGCTGGTGCCCTGCTGTGCTTTGCCTTATGCCAAGGACAGGAGGGAGCCCTGGGTGCACAGAATTCCCTGTCACAACATCTTCTGTCACCTCCCACCTCTCCACAGCCCCCAGTAACCTCCTTCCCATGCCGGTCCCTTGGGTATCCCACCACCAAACTGCCTTGAGTACTTTCCCAGCATGGCTGCATGGGCTCTGGGGCCGGGAGGGCATCTTCCTTTCTGACCTCTGCTATTGCTTGGGGCAGTGCTGGCAGGTGCTGAGCTCTCCTCTGGCCATGCGGTAGCAGGATGAGACCCACAGAGCTGCACACCCTTCCCAACAGGGTACAACCCCATGAGATTCCCTCTCCCCCAGACCCCAACTCCTGCCTCTAGCCTCCTGGGTGGCTGCTCAGGCTCCGGCGTGCCCCTGCTGCTCCGGGCTGCTTTCGCCTCCCAGCCTGAATGCATTTTGTGGTTGTCACTGTTGTTTCCCCCTGTTGGCTCCAATCTAGATTCAAACGTAACCAGGTCTACTTACCAGACAGACCATGACGACAGAGACTTCGACCCCAGGTTCACCTCCAGGGAATTCGTTTTGGAGAACGCCATCACGGACAAGCTGCTGGACAAGACCTCGGACTCCAAGGAGCTGGTGCTCAACATGACCATGAACAGCATCTTTGCCCAGGGAGACCCAATCAACTCCGTGGGGTCACATATTGACAGCCTCTATGTTGACTACGAAGACACTGATGGCATTGTGACCTACACCATTAATAGCACTTACATGGAGCTGAGCAACGGCAAAGCCATCAACGCATCTGCAGAGACGCCGTTTTCAAATGCCACTGTCACCATGACAAGCCCTCAAGGGAACAGAACCCACAAAGCAAGGTAGGAGACGTCTTTAATTATAGTTAATCCTGTTTATTGCTATTCTTGACTCATAATAGCCCTGTACTCAATACAGACCCCATTGCAGGGCTTCTGTCTGCTTTGGAAGGTAAGTGGGGGTAGGATGATGTATGTGAAAGCTTTCCGTTGGGGGTTAATTTGGAAGGAAGGGCCGGAGGTTTGGAAGCAGAAAATCAAGAGAGCACTTAAGCAAGAGGAAAATGCACTGCCTTTCTTAGTGGGGAAGTTGGCAAGTCCATGCTGGTGGCTGTCAGCCTGTGCATTGCTTTCTGCCTGTCATAGCCTGTTATCAGAGCCATGGCCATAAAGAAGCCTCTTCCTTTTGCCTTCTCTTGATGTCCTGCTCTGATTCCCCAGGCCCCTTCCTCTGAGTTCTGATGCAGCAGAAGTTGGTCATGGCCCCTTTTTGCCCACCCTATTGACTGCCACCCATGGTCTTCCTCACTTGTGTTGGCACGAACATGCTTCCAGCAGCTCCCAGGCACGGCCCTGCCTGCTTAACCTACTGCTGGAGAGGCAGAGCAGGACAACAGGAGCTCCTCTGCAGGGCCTGGGTTTGCTGCCCTGACAGATGCAGAAGCAGTGCAATTTGTCACTGCTTTGACAAGAATATCAAAAGCTTTCCAGTGGCAGCTCATGGGTGGATATTAGGACCATCACTTCAGGATTGCTTTTAATGGCTGGTTTGGAGTGGTAGTGTTCAAAAATGCAGTGGGAAGGTAAAAAAAAAAAAGGCTTGACCTAGCTTTTAGCAGCAGAGTTTGTCAAGGCAAGGATAGGCTGGGTGGAAGGGAGTCTCAGGCTAGTGCTTGTCCACGAGTTTGTGTCTAGGGCCTTTTCTAGATACCCTAGGGCTGTCTGGGGAGCAGCCTTTATTCCCAGTGTGGGCAGATGGGGTCTGAGATGGGACCATTGCTGCAGAGCAGCAATCAGCCCTGCTTCGTGTGTAGCCACACATTGGAGCGCTCCCTGGAGAGCTTGAGGTGAAGTCAGGGCCGTGGGAGTCATCCAGGTCCCAGACCCACAGCTGTGGATTTGGCTCCTGCTGTGCACCCCCCCAAGCTTCCACGCCTCCCCTGCTGCTTTGACTCTTCTGTCTCCCGGTCTTCGCCACCGGTAGAACATGGGTTATGGTGCTCAGCTTCAGAAGACATAAAGCACTGAGCAGATGCTCTCTGGTTATAATTAGCTGTATTTACCCAGAACTTACCCTAGCTTATGCTAAAGAAACTTATGCTAAAGAAAATGTCCGTGCAGCCAAACGTATCAACAAACTTCTTAATGATAAGAACATTAAAACATTGCCAAAGGTTTGAGTCTATCATCTCTTCTCGTGGCTTGGCTTGGAAACTTTGCCTTCAGTTGCCAAAGCAAGCATTTCATTAGCACTCTGACAGGCTGCCCTGCCTCACCGTGCTGCGGGGGCGAGGAAGGGGGCTGCCCTGCCCCTTGGGGCTCTCCTGGTCCCTGGCGTGCTCCCTGGGTGGCCTCGGCTGGCACCCTGTACCCCAAACCTCTCTCCCAGTAGCTGTTAAGTGGGGCTAGTGCATTCCTACCTCCTGGGAATACAAGGACGTTGACATGCTTTAAGGTTCGGAGCAGCTTGGCTGTTACAGGACAATCACAAAAGACTCTCAGCAGTTCTAGTGCAGTTTTTCTGTGGTGCTAAAAAGCTCCTTGCACTATCCCTGGCTGCCCATCTATTGAAAACACAGGGCAGGGATTTAAACCCCTTCAGGAAGGATACCCAGCATGGCCATTTCTATTCCCCCATTCTTCCCTTGGTTTTGGTCTACAGTGTTCCCTCTTCTTCCCCCACTCTAGAATAAAATACGAGCTTTTAAAATCTAAATGGTAATATCCAAAAAAGTTTTTTTGCACTGGCCAAAAGGCTGTATCCAGGCCCAGCTGGGGCTATAGCTTGGGCTGAGAGATGCACAGCTCCTCACTGGCTCCATCCCTTGCTGTGGGGCTGTGGTGGGGGGTTGAAAGGCCAGTGGAGGCAGATGTGGGGCATCTGGCATGTAGGAAACATGCTGCTTGGAGGCCTGTCAATTTATTTAAAAAAAAAAATAGAGGGGGAAAGAAAAAAGGCAACAAAACAAGTCGTGCCTCATTTCAAGAGGCCTCACCCATGGCTTGGAGGCATCACTCTCCTCCCCGGCAGTTCAGAAAGTCCCGTAATGTCATTGACACCTGCATGTGTGGGCACTTGTGGAGGAAGGAGCGACGGGCACGCTTGCAGGCTTGGGGTCTGGCTGTTCTGCCACCGCTGCGGAGATGGGCGATCATCGCTTCCAGGGGATGGGACAGAAGGGATTGTGTCAGGACAGCCTGCTTGTGCCCAGGCCTTTATTGCTTCCTACAACTCTTTATTTATTTCTTCAAGTCTAGTTGCAGTCATAACACTAGTCACCAACCTATATCTCCTGGGTGGGAATGATGGATGAGGAGCCCCAGCTCAGCTCACTGAGGCCAGGGTTAAAGCTCCTGCTGGCACCTGACACAGCAGGATAAAGCCCGTACCGACAGTGGGATGTGGGTTTGGGTTTGAGGTGTCACAGGCAGGGTGCTGGTGCACCAGGCATGTGAAGGGCGTTGGGGATTGGACTTGTTCCTCCAGGAGGAAGGGAGGTGGAGGGGACAGCCAGAAGCTGCACTGAAGGAAATGGTGGTGGGGCACAAGGGAAAACCTCTGGCCCTGGGTGTGGGGCAGGGTGGGGGATTTCCATCCTTGGAGATGGGCAAAACTGTGCAAGGCCCTGTGGGGCCCAGTCTGTTGTTGGGGTCAGCCTAATTCCAGGCAGGAACTTGGACTTGAGACCTCCCAAATCCTTCCCAGGCTCAGCTGGGGATGGACCGTGGCTTTTTTTTTTTTTGCTCCTTTTCATTCCCTGTCAATGAACAAGCGAGGGAAGATCATCTCTTTGCAGACTGTAACCAGCCAGTCCGTACACACAGGACAGTGTTGGTTAGAGGTGGGGCATTTTATTTCTTTCTAAACTGTTGTAGCTCTCAGTGTGGATGGGGTTACCCAGTCATAGGAGCACCTTGCACCAGCATGCTGCGTTGTATTTCCTCTGGGAACAAGCCCAGATGGGAGGGGTGGGTGGCTCTTGTGCCGTGGTAGGGATGCAGTGCTGCTTTTCCTCTCCTGGAGCAGTTAAAACCTTTCCATGGTGTGGTGGGGCAGATCCAGGCACCCTTCACCTCTCATGCTGCAGGGTGTGCAGACAGGGCTGATCCTGCAACAGCAGCCACGTGTTTCCCCCTTTGCTTAAAAAATAAAAAACAAAACCATGAAATAAGATACAGAAGTGTGAGCCCAGAGACTCTGGGTGTGGATCTATGGTGTTTGTGTGCACTTGTTAGGATTATTCTTCTGCTATGGGGACTATTTTGGGAAGATGGGCAGCCAGACCTCAGCTGGGGGTGAGGGACTGGTGCTAATTTTTGGTACTGTTGCTTGAAAAGCAGAAGCAAAGTGCAGGCAGGGAAGAAAATACTTGACTTTATAATGAAGTTCATAATGAAGAGGAAAAATAAAGAGAAAAGCTGACCAGCTTTGTGGGACAATATGCTGCTGTTTGCATTTAGAGGAGAACAAAATGACAGTTTTGTTTTTGCTTGAAATGGTAAGAGAGCTAAATGCTGCCCTATGACCAAATGTCTGATTTATCTGGAAAGAACTTGTCCCCGCAACCTCGTTACGTGTAGAAGAAGCTCTTTATTTAGGATCGCATACATTAAAGGGACACTGTTGAAAGAGTATTTTTTTTCTGACCTCAGACGTGGCATAAAGCTTATTTTGAAGCTTATTTTCTCCTTTCGAGAGAGAGGAGTCTTGGTCACAGGAAAACTTTGTGTTTACCCAGAGAGCAGGGTATAGACCGGAGGATCTAGGTAATACCCCGTTTTCCAGGCAAATTAAAGTACAAAAAAGCAGATGTTGACTATGTTTTAATGGATCTTACTGAAAACTGTCATCTTGTGAGCCCTCTTCTGGCTGGGTGGCAGTGGGCAGCACACCAACGGCAGCCGGGGCTGAGCCAGGATCAGGGGCTGATGCGGGTCCCCAGGCAGAGCTCTTCTGGCAAGATAAAGCACTATTTATAGTGAGCCGAGGTTGTTATTTTTCCACAAAAAATAGTCACATTCATTTCAGTTCCATTTCAAACGCAGGAAGCGACCATTTGCCAAACTGACAGAGGCAAAATCAACAGGGAAAATGAGATTGTTGTTGTTTTTAATCCTTCTGGAGGCTCAGTGCTGGCGGTGGAAGGAGGGTGGGTCTGAAAGGAAACGGCTGGATTCTCAACAGTGTCCTTTTAAAGGTTGATTTGATAGACTGGACTTGAACTTTTTCTTAGGAACAACTAAATAAGGCAATTTCAGAGCTTCTGCTGCCTAGAAATCATACAAGCTGCATATCTCGCCAGGCCAGAGACAACTGGATGTCAGGATACAACCTTGTACGCTATTTCAGTGTAGCTGTTTCAAGGGTTTGAACAAAGGTATGAGAACAGAATTGAAGCCTTTTGTTGTAAAGGTGCAGTATCCCTGATGTGTTATAACCTCACAGCACGTAGGATGCACTGAACTGGGAGAAGCTGCTGTTCTTGGTTTGACAAATGCTTTTTCGTACACCAGGCTGACTCCGTTACCCCTTTCCTGATGGTATTACATGTTTGAGCGCAGCGTGGATATGAGAGATGCAAATTACCTACCTAAAATAAAACAGAATAAACCAAAACAAAACCAGAGTGGCAAAAGCAGCGGGTAGGCAAGTGGCATGCCTTGGTGTTTAAAAGCAAAGCGTGCTTTGAGAAGCAAGCTTATAAACTCCTGTGCCACGTGTTGGCTTTCGGAAGGAGTGAGCTGCTGAGATTGGAGCAGCCAAAAGCTCTGCTGTGTTGAGCAGCACGAGTCGGCCTGCCCGGCCCTGGAGATGCAGGGGAGGAGATACTGCACCTTTAGTCACTGTATGCCGAGGGCCAGGTGTATTTGAGCAGAAAATGCAAACTTTGTTAAATTCTGAACTGTTTCTACTTGTGGGTATTTTTATCCCATTCTCTCTATTTCTAGACAGTGGAAGCTCTGCCTCTAACCGGGCTGGGGATTCTACTTGGGGCTCAGGACAGGTATGTTGTGAAACGAAACAAACCAATTAAAACAAACAAACAAACCCCAAAAAAATCAGAAAAACCAAACCCAACCGCCAAAAAAAAAAAAAAGCAAATCCCCTCCCAAACCCGAACCCAACCGAACTGCAGCCTGCTGGCAGATGTGTGTGTGTCTGACGTGGCCTATCACCGCTCGCCTTGTAAATGCCTTTGTTTTGTTTTGTTTTGTTTTGTTTTTTTTTGTTTGCTTATCGCTAGAAACAGATTGAAGTTGTTAAGAAAGGGCCAAGGTGTGAGTGCTGCTGACATGTACAGGTGGAAGCTTTCCTCCCATGAACCCTGCAGCTCTACATGCACCACAGGTAGTTATAAGAAGCAGCCAAATTCTGCACAACCGCTGAAATCACCTGGTGTGTGAGTCACTTTTATGTCTGTTAGGGATGGGAAGGACCTGGTGATGTGTAGGGGATCTTGTGCTCTCTGGAGCTGGTTTAGCAGGACCCCAAATCTGCTCCGCCTGGGTGCAAGGGCGGGGAGAGGAGCCGGGGGCTGAGAGCGTGCAAAGCCCAACGACCTCGCAGGCACGTTGGGGGCCGGGCGTTGGTGCCCAGCATGTCCATCATCCTGCAGAACACCCTCCCTTCGGGGAGCTCTGAACCTCACCTTTGCTTCCCAGCCCAGCGGGGATGCGCTGCGGCTTGGCAGGATCCCCAAAGCTGTGCTGAGTCTCAGCGTATCGCCTCCTTTTTCTTGACTTCTTCCCCTTTTTGACCATTCAGAAGGGTTTGAAATGCTCAGCTGCTTCCCCACAGAGTGAAATTTTGAAGATTGTTCAGCTCTGGCAGGAAACAAAACAGCATTTGGCTTTTTGATTTTTGTTTTTTTTTTCTCCCACTCCTTCTGCCCTGGAGCCTGATCTCAGCTGCGAGGGCGTGAATCTGGAGCAGCCACGTAGATACCAGGGATATCAAACCCAAGCCTGTTCTCTTTTTGCATAAATTCCCCCTTTTTGCCCCTCAAAAACCTTCAAGCCACCTGATCTCTCTCCCCCTTTACTCCTCGGTCAGGGGGTCCTCACCCCTGTGAGCCCATCACTTGTGGTGAAGCCTGCACGTGGGTTGTGTGCTCGCCTGCACCGCTCCCCAACAGGACCGTCCCTGAAACAATCCAGATCCTGCAGTGCTTCTGGAATTAGAAAGTGGGAAAAAAGGGGGAGAGAAGAGATAGCGATCTAAGGGACATCTTTAAAAGAGCAAATGCAAGGATTTTATTTTTAAAGCATTTGTTCTTGTCCAGCAGACATATGCCTGCAGTGTGCCAGTGGCCATCCCGTTCCCCGGGATCTTGTTAGCCACATGTTCTGGGACATTTTTGACTTCTTTGATCCCTTCTGAACAAATTTCCCCCTTGACCAGGCCAGCCTACGCTGCCCTGGTTTGCAGCTAGCAGAGAGAGGTATTACTTAAATTTCTCCTTTCTCATTGCCTTTTCTTAATGACATATTGCAGAGAAGCAATACCATGTCAAGAGCTGCAGATCTTTTTTTAGTTTCATGTAAACCATATGTTCCCGAGAGCTGCAATTCTTGTTACCTGCAGCCAGAGCAGCTTCCTGGTCCCCAGCCAGGTCCCAGAATGGACTTCACAGCATTTACTCTGGCACGGCAGGCTGCGGGGGAAAAGGTCTGAGTCTGACGACACTGGCTGCCTGCGCTTTCGGTGGGGGAGCAGGAGGGGCAGGTGCCTCCTTGCAAAGCCCCAGGAGCCCTTTCCCTGGCTCAGAGCACTGGCTGCACCTGGGGGCACCTGGGCCCAGGGGGGGTGTAATGCAGAGAGAGAGAGTGGGTGGATGGAGCTGGCTGGGGGAGTGTTTTTTGGTCGCCTCCATCCACGAGCCCAGCCGGGTGGGAGCTGATGGCTCTGAGGTGGAGGGAGCTGCTGAGCAGACTCGTTGCCCCGAGCGTTTCCTGTAAAAAAAAAAAAAAGTGTTAGTCATATATTGATCTTGGTGGCAAGCCCTGGCTAGGGGTGGCCATGCCTGCCTTTGGAGCTGGCCAAACCCAACCGCGCTGCCCATGATGGCTGGGTGGCCACCACAGTCCTCCCCTCCCAGCAGCATCCATCCCACGGGCCAAAAGGTCCAGCTTGCTGCTTTCTGTCAGGAGGAAGTTTGGAAAATACAGCTAAAAAAAGAAAAAAAAATTAAAATAAAAGAGTTTGGATGTCAAAATCACCAAGCGTCCTCTGTTGTGTGTGTGTATTCTCTTTGAAACTAGGAGTGATGTCCACATATGCTATGTGTGTTCGCTATGATGGGATCGAAGTGGATGATACGTACTGTGATGCCATGACCCGTCCTGAGCCCATCCATGAGTTCTGTGCTGGGAGAGAATGCCAGCCAAGGTACCAGCTCAACAGGGTGCTCCTGGGGGGCTCTGTGCTCCTCTTTTGGGGGAGGGGGGTTCGGTGTGGATTTGGTGGGCGGGGGGGCAGCAGGGATGGCCTGTCCCTCCTCCCCTAGTTGCATCTGCGCTGGGATTGCAGCAAGACTCCTCCTGAGTGCTTTAGCTCAAGCTGACGGGTTAAACCTTCTGTAAATCCTGGCAGAGTTTGCACCTAGGACTGCCATCTTCTTACGACACAGGCAGCGTCCTGCCCTGGCCTACGTGTGTGAATTGGGTGGAGGGGCTGGGCTTGCAAACTGCGCCGCGGATCCTGCTGGTCCCTTCAGCATCCTAACCATCACAGAGGTTTGCTGGTATCAGGGCAAGAGCTGGTGCAGAGGGGAACCCGTGCTGGGAGTCCTTCAGAAGGTTTCCCTTCTGACGCAGCGCTTTAACTGCAAAAGCGTTGACTGCAGCCCAGGCTGTACGTCTCGGGGCGCCTCCACTGCTGGTTTGTAACACGGGGCGGGCTCGTTGGAAAGGTTGCAAGCGACAGCAGTTATGGGCAGGACAGACCGGGGTCTGTCAAAGGCAGGAGGACTGTGATGGTGTCAGACTATGGGCAGGGCAAAGGGAGAAGCAAAGCTGTCTGGTGCGTGCCCTGGAATGGTGTCACTTGTCAATGGTGCAAAGCAAGACTAGAGTGATGCCAGGGACCAGGTGGGGCACTTGGTCTTTGGAGGGTGCTTGCTTTTGCCTCTGGTAATTGCGAAGGGGGACGGGGGAAGAAAGCACATGGCCTTTGCAGTGTAAGATCTTGTTGAACCTTGCACGTCAAGGCTGAAAGCCAGAGCAGGCTGCAACTGAGGCAAGAAAAGCGTGGGGAGATGGATGGTGCTACCGCTGGGAACATACCTGCCCTGCAGGCACCATGGGGACTTTAATCTCTATTTGCATTAACTTTGTAATTTTTTGGTACACCTACTAGGCCTGTTTTCATGCTTAGATTATCCCACTGGTCTTTTATAAAGCCACCCCTCCTTATAGTTGTGCTGTTCCAGCCCCATGGGCTTGCACTGTAAGAGAGAAGAGCTGCTCTGTGATTTACTGGTGATTACAGCTTGGTGGTGGGTAAACCAAGGAGCTGCTGACAGCGCAAACACGGCAGCCGAGCACGTTCGCTAGCACTTTGGCAGACGGGATGCTGCTAGGGCTGGCCACGCTTTTCTAACGGGAAGTGCTAAGAGAATTTTGCCTGATCTGGTCAGGAAAGACCTTGATTCCATCTCCCTTCTGAATCTGGGTGGCACCCCTAAATGTGTGACATTTCCCTAAGGCTGTGTGTTGGGCCTGCAGCCCCATGCGGGGGCAAGGCCGGCGTGCGGCCGGGGGACCTGGCTGTCCTGTTCGGAGCGTGGCAGCAGTGGGTGGCCCCGGAATGTCAATTCTGATCCATTTAGGTTTTTACATTTTTAGCTTATTCTTTACTTCAGAATTGCTCTAATGATGCTATACTGTAAAAATCTTGACCTTCTAATGTCTTTTTCCCTTGATTTACAAGCTGCTCCCCTCTTGTAACATCGGAACAGTAGTGACAGGGGACAGTAAGGGACAGGCAGTGCCTCGGACCAAATCCCATCTCTTCCAGCTCGTTGCATGACGTTTCCAGAGTTAGACTGATGGTGGTACATGAATGTCTGTCCCACCGGGGCTCAGACAGCTTTGTGTGACATTATTGCTGGGATTTGCGGAGTGATGGATGGCTGGTCCTCTCTGTGCTTTAGCTGATCAGGCAGGAAAAAAAAAAAAAGAGAGGTGAAACGTGGGCAAAAAGCATGGCAGAGAAATGTGCTGGCACACACGGGGTCACAGCCGGGGAGTGTGCAGCCTGTGGGTGACAAACGCTCTGGTCCGTGCCTTGTCGTGCCAGCACCTCCTTCATCTTGGCAGTCTGGTTTTAGCATCCACCGCTGCAGGCGTGAGCTCAGGTCTGCTGGGTAAAGCTACCAGACGTGAATATATCCCATCCCACAGGAAAACCTCTCACACGCTGGCAGCCCGGCTGCAGCTCATTCCTATTGCAGCCATCTCCCTCCAGCTGCGAGCAGGCAGGGCTTTCCCACGGGATGCTCCAGCCCCGGTCCAGCCCCAGCCGTACCCAACGCAATGGCCTCTCTTGCCTCCGCAGGTGGGAGACGAGCAGCTGGAGCGAGTGCTCCCGCACCTGCGGGGAGGGCTACCAGTTCCGCATCGTCCGCTGCTGGAAGATGATCTCCCCGGGATTCGATAGCTCCGTCTACAGCGACCTCTGCGAGTCGGCCGACATCACCCGGCCGGACGAGCGCAAGGTCTGCAAGAACCCAGCCTGCGGGCCCCAGTGGGAGATGTCCGAGTGGTCCGAGGTGAGTCCCCGGGGGGGGGGGTTGGCCCGGCAGCGCTGAGGGCGAGCACACGTGGCCGCACTTCTCCGTTCCTTTTCTGACTGAAACTCACCCATGGCCATCAGAAACTCTGCCTTTTAGGACCACGGGCTGCAGTTGTTGCACGTGGACCAACATGCACCAGTGATTTTTTTTTTTTTTCTCTAAAATGAAGCCTTGGGGTCCACTCCAGGATAGGGAGGCCACCGCCATCGGTCACTCACAGCCTTTGGCCACGCGTAAGGTGCTGGCATTGCCCACTGAGACAGGGCAGGAGTCCACAGCTAATATCCTCCCACCACTAAATGCTGGCAGCCTCTTCAACCCGCAGAGCGTCAGGGAGGAGATCCCACCTCACATGCGTGTTACGTTCCCATAAACTCCCCTTCCTCACCTCCAATTTCACTGCACCACCTGGAGAATTAAACCTTTCCCTGGCTGTGCCTTAAGCAGATCCCTAAAGCAGTTGGAAGATGGTTTGGGGCGGTGCAGTGCTGCTCTTGCTTTAGCTCGTCTTGGGAAAACACGTGAAAGGGTTTGTGCCCCTGAATTCATCTCCAGGCACGACCAGCGCTCCAGCATGTCGCTTGCAAACATAAAACTATGGAAATGACCAAATCAGTGCTGTTTCCTTGGGGAGCTGGTCTCTGAGCTGGGGTGGCTGGGGAGCCAGTCCCCTGGCTGCCACGGGCGTTGGGCTGGGTCAGCACTCGGGGCGCAGGGAGGAGGATCCAGCACGGCTTGCAGCGAATGCGTAAAATACACAGGGGGTGTAACTATGCCCCCCTGCATTGCTAGAACACAGCCCTGCCTCTTCACTGCCTTCTGGCAGTGGGTGTGCATGGGGAGGAGGAGATTTTGGGCCTGTGTCTGTCTCCAGGCTTGCCTGGGGTGCCACCACCAGCCCCCTGCGATGGTGATGGCTGTGTGCAGAGCGTGGCATTTGTGCCGCGGGGTCCACACGCTCATTGACTCTCTGCATAGGAGCAAATGCCGTTCCTGCTCCCAAATCAAGCCCGGACCCCTTCTGAGCAAGAGCAGACTGAGCTCCGAGCCCAGCTGTCCATGGGTGCGAACCTGCCCCACGATTTACAGCATGAGGGATCGGACTCTTCCTCCTGGAAGGCTCCCAAAACACTTCTTGGTCATAACTGAAATGTCTCCTTTCCTCTGCAAGCCGGGGTGCATTGTTTCCCTCAAGCGGCTGGTGCATTCTCTGGTGTTGCAGGATGTTTTGACTTTCCCAGCTGGGTAGAGAGGAGCTCCCTGCGCACGTGCTGGCATGTTATTTTGACCAGCATAGCAAACCAGAATGGCTTTTTTTACAGAAACCTGTATTCTCCTCCAGCATGTGTCAGGGACAGATTGCTTGAGACAGTCCTGGAGTAGTTCATTCTTAGCCAGGAGCAAAGCTAATCTCGTTTGGATCCCATCTGAAGTAGGGTGCCAAGTTGGCTGGGGAAATAGGCATGAAAAAAAAAAAAAAGCACATTTCAGGGATCTGAGGATTAACATATCAGCGTGGTGTGTCTGAGCGCTGTGCTGTTGACACTTTTCCCTGCTTTATGTTATGCATGGAGCAAATGTGTGTATGCGAGACTGTAGTAACTCAAATCCAGTTCTAAATAATGTCACTGGGCTGCACGGTGCTAAATTTATCCGTAGCATAAAAATCTCAGTTTGGAGAAAACATTCTCCAAAGAGGTGGAAAGGAGCTGGCTGTTCCTGGGAAGGAGGGGAGGGAGATCTGACCCTGTCTCTAAGTGACAGCTAAAACTTTTCGGCTCTGATCTGGCATTTTTGGTTGCTTGGGTTTTCACCCTCTGGCATCTGGCATTACTGAGCAGAGAGCTTGCACAGCACCCAGGCAGGATTCAGCCCTCCTGCACCTTAACCTGACTGCTGAAGCTGTTGAGGGGTCTTGGGGAAGAAGGGTGGCTTTGCTATGGATTGTTGTACAGTCACCTCTGCGTTGTCGGCATGTGTTTGTAGAGTTTCATGTTAAAAATGTGGAAAAAAAAAAAAGAAAAACAAACAGAAAGCAGCTCCCAGTTCCCATCACGGCAGAAACCCCTGCTGAAGCTGTCCCCTCCCGGCAGTGCTCAGCCCGGTGTGGAGAGCGGAGCGTGGTGACACGGGACATCCGCTGCTCGGAGGACGAGAAGCTGTGCGACGCCAGCGCCCGGCCCCTGGCCGAGAAGAACTGCACAGGGCCGCCCTGCGACCGGCAGTGGACCGTCTCCGACTGGGGACCGGTGAGACCCTGGGGTGGCCGGCCGAGCGGCCAGCACGACCCATTGCAGCTGGCCCT